TCTGATCAAATTTAAATTTCACCAACAAGAATAATAAAGGAAAGTATGAAGAAGAACTCAAAATATTTATGGTGGACTGTAATGCAAAATATAATTGAAAACAAAAACTGAAATTATCTCCCTTCCTACTAGAGGCTATTTCAGCTGGTAAAGTTCCAGGGCTTCCCACGTGCTCATTTTGTACCAGCAAGCTGTATGTAAACCCTCAGCCAAAATTGGGAAATTCTGAGAGATTTCATTGTAATTTCCCAAGATAAATTGGGCTTGCTTCTCCAAAGTAAAAATGGGCATAGAACAAATTTTGTTCTCCAGCAGAATCTTGTAAAGGTTATTGGGTGGTGTTAGACAAAAATGCATTGGATTTGCTTTTGAAGTAAAGTTTTTCTGTGGGAGGGAAAAGATCAGTTTCATTGTTTTTCTATTTATGCACTTTAGCATCAAGGCATTCAAATGCAAAGGTTGAGATTAGACTAATTCAAAATAAAGCAGCTACTGTATTTGCTCCATTATTATGCTTGAATCAGACCCTTCATTACATAAATATGGCATTCATATTTCAGTTTGGAATGAAACAGTAAATTTTCTTCCAAATTATAATCAGTATTGTGTCATGCATTTCCATGCACGAAGAAGAGTTCTAGAAATTTAACGTCATTACAAGTGTAGGCTGTATTCAAACTTTGAGCCTAAAACCAGCTCCAAATGTGATGCAAGTTTATTTAATTACAGGTGCTATGCTGTACAAGAAGCTGAGCGAATATGTTTTAACTGAAGAGCAATTACAAGAAAATTGCTACCCAAGACCACATCCAGAGAAGCCTGGTGTTGTGGTGCTTTATAATCAGGATGTGAGAAAGAATAATACTGACCGTAAGTAAAAGTCCTTTCAGATACTATGAAAGGGTCCAATACATTTATTTCTTCAGCTACGTTTTAATTTTTCTAGGAAAATTAGTATTCTCCATAACTAAACCACTAGTTCTGAATTCTAAAATTAACAAAACTTGTGTCAATGGCCAAATGGAACTGTACGCTGGAATTTTGAATTCACAATTGCACTCTTGCACATATTGTAACTCATATTTTTGTAAGCCTTTAGCTGTGGTAGTTTCTTTTTAATTACTGAAATAATAACTGTTTACTGTTTAATGTGACAGACTTGTTTGTATTTCTGTTAATTTCCTGCTCTGTGCTCCTTGATGCCAGATTAGCTTTTAAGAATCAAGCATTCCAAACTTGTCATATTGGCTGAATGCCATTGTTTAAAAACAAAACTGTTACTTAATGTCAGTCAAGGTTAAGCTCAAGTGACGGTTCTTAGATCTTAGAATCTGATCTTAGAATTCCTACATTGTGGAAACAGGCCCTTTGGCCCAACAAGTCCACACCGACTCTGACAGCATCCCACCCAGATCCATCCCCCTATAACCCACCTAATCTACACATCTGGGCAATTTAGCATGGCCAATCCACCTAACCTAACCATCTTTGGACTGTGGGAGGAAACCGGAGCACCTGGAGGAAACCCACGCAGACACGGGGAGAATGTGCAAACTCCACACAGACAGTCGCCTGAGGGTGGAATCGAACCCAGGCCCCTGGGGCTCTGAGGCAGCAGTGCTAACTACTGAGCCAATGTGCCGCCTAGTTCTTTGCATGTGAGCAGGAGTGTAGCTTTTCTCTTTCACTAACCGCTTGAAGACTCCTAAGCTGTCTGTGAAATTTACATTGTTTTCAATTTATATAAGTCGTAATCTGCTGATATAAACAGATCTTTGAGCCCTGATAAGATGCAGTTACCTATGGAACAATATGCTGAGACAGCCTTTTACAAAATTCCAAACTCAAAATGTCCAATGGAGCAAACCCACAATTGAGTGTTTAAGTAAAACTGAGTTGTTAAAGCTTTGAGCTGGATGGACAGGGCTATTGGATAATGAGCCCATTGTTTGGACATACCTTGTCCTGCCGGGCGACCTGAAGTTTCTAGGGGGCCACAATCCAGGAAATTTACTGGGCAATCCACCTAGTTCTGCCAAGGTGAAACTGTGCACATTTTCTATACAAAATTGTTTGCGTAAATCCAAGCACATAATCTCCCATGAGCTTGCAATGCAGCAGTGTAAAATATTTTTTAATTAACCTGTTTGAATATGTATGACACACCTCCATGGCAGGTGGAACCTGAACCCAAATCTTCTGCATACATTACCACTGCCCCACAAGACACTTTCTGAAGCCTATTGCACCAGATGGTTCCAGGTGGCCTTCCATCCAAGTACTAATCAGCCTAAATCTTACGCGCTTCAGAGATTGAGAGATTTCCGATTAGTATAACCATTGCATGCAGGCCACAGTGGATTAGTGATCCATTTCCTTAAACTGCTGGCCATGTCCAGGGGTCTGTTGCTCCTGGTATTCCCAGGCAGTCTCCCATTCAAGCACTAACCCAATTGAATCTGCTTGGCTTCTGAGCTCAAATAAGATCAGCTGCTGATTAGGATGGCTATAGATAAATTTGATTACTGATTGGAGCATAGAGAAAAAGGCCTCACGATTACTTAAACTTACTGGATCATACTTCTCAGTTTTGAAAAAATCGCTGCAGCTGAACTAGAGCAGTGGTTTTAAGGCCTTGTGTACTAAGGGACAAGACATTGACTGCATTGAGACACATTTCATTTCAATTTAAGGTAATTCTCATTCCTGTGTTCACATTCCTCTTTGGCCTCACCTGTCCCCATCTCTGTAATCGCCTCCAGCTCAGCAATCCTCTGAGATATTCGTACTCCTCTAATTCCTATCTCTTGAGCATCCCTAAGTTTAATTGCTGTACTATTGGCTGTGCCTTCAGCTACATAGGCCCTGAGTTCCCTCTGTATACCCTTTGGATTCTCTCTCCCACTTAAGTGGAGTTAGCTGAAAGTGAACTGGGAAACTAGACTAAAAGGTATGACAGTAGTGATGGAATGACAGACTTCTAAGGAGATACTAAATAACTCTTAGTTTATCTTGCTAAGAAAGAAAGACTCTTTGAAAAGGATGTATCATCCATGGCCGAATAAGGATGTTGAGGATAGTTTCAAATGAAAGGAAACACTACAAATTTGCAAAGATTAGTGGCAGGTGAGAAGATTGCTTTGATTTTCAGATCCAACAATGACTGATTAAATAATTATTGGAAAAGGCAAAAAGCAAGCATGAAAGGTCCAGGTAGTATAATGAAACAAATGGGAAGAGTTTGTAGGAGTATTTAAATGGGAGAAGATTAACGAAACCTGGTGTTGGTCTTGTAGAGGGTGATTCAGGGGAATTGATAATGAAAAACAAAGAAATTGTTGTGGCGTTGAACAAATACTTGGTGACTTCACTATAAAAGACTTTCCAAAGACGCTTAAAAGTCGAGGTAAACATGGAGTGAGGAACCTTATAACAATCACCATCCCAAGGAAAAGTTGCTGGGAAAACTATTAGTCCTTAAAGGCTGATCCCAGGATTAGGTGACTTGCAAACTGGAGCCTTAAAAGAAGCGATTGCAGGAATAGTAGATGCATTGGTTGTAATCTTGTAAAATTCCTTACTCTGGAAGGATTCCAGTGGATTGAAAAATGGTCAGTGTAACACCTTTATTCATGAAAATGGGAAACTATAATTCAACTAGCCTAACATTTGTTGTAGGGAAATTGCCAGGATCCATTATTAATGAAGTTATAGCAGGATACTCTGAAAATGATCATATGATCAGGCACAGTCAACATGCTTGCAGAAAGGAAATTTGTGTTTAAATTGCTTTTTTTTTGAGGAAGAAACAAGCAAGGTAGATTAAAGGAACCTGTAGATGCGGTGTACTGAATTTCCAAAAAGTACTAGGTAAGCAGTCATGTCAAAAGAGTTGCTACTCAAGATAAAGTAAGAAGTGTCATGTTTAGCATGAATAAAGGATTAAAGGTTAGCTAACAGAAAGTAGGGATACTTGGATTTTTTTTCCAAGTTGGAAAGTTGTAACTAGTGGATCGGTGTTGGCACCTCAGTTATTTCCAGTCAGTCAGTGACTTTGAGAGGACTGAATGTACAGTAACTAAATTTGCCAATGACACTAAGATGAGCAAGAAAGTAAGTTGTCAAGAGAGACAGTCTGTAAAACTATACGGACAGATTAAACGAGTGGGCAAAAAGCTGCAGGTGGAGTATAATGTTGGAAAATGTGAAATTGCCCGCTTTGGCAGGAAGAATAAAAAAAATCAGTGCATTATTTAAATTGAGAGAAATGAAAGAACTTGGTGGTGTATTGGGATTTGGGTGTGTTAGTACATGAATTACAAAGTTAGTATGCAGGTACAGCAAGTGATTAGAAGACAATGGGAATGTTGGTGTTCATTGCAAGGAGAATAAAATAGAAAAGTAGGGAAATTTAGTGCAGTTGTATGGGGTCTTAGTGAGACCACTTTTGGAATGGTGTACAGTTTTTGTCCCCTTAATTGAAAAAGATATGATTGTGTTGGAAGCATTTCAGATAATTTTCACTTGATTCCTTCCTTGGGTGAAGGGCTTATGAAAATTTGTTAAACAAAATGGGCCTATTTTCATTGGCATTTAGAAGAATGAGAAGTAGTCTTATTGAAACATGAGGCAGCCTTCAGGTAACCACCTTATGTTGTGAGGGAGACTAAAACTATAAGACACAGTTTAAGATTGAAATTTTAAGATGGGGCTGAGGATTTCATTTTCTGATTTGTTAATGTATGGAATTTTGTTCACCAAGGAGCAGTAGAGGCTGTGTTGTTTAATTTATTCAAGGCTGAGTTAAACAGACCTTCCATAGAAAAGGGCATCTAGAGTTCCTGTGGGTAAGAAAGTGAAGCTGAGACCACATCCAGATCAGCTGTGATTTTATTGAATGGTGGAGGAAGCTTGATGGCCTTAATCATCTACTCCTGGCCCTATGTTCCTCCTTTCTTCGCCAAGCTTTTGGTCATCTGACCTAATGTGATTTAGTGGCATATTTTCATTTATAATGCTCTCATGAAGTTCATTGGGATTTTTTATTACTTTACAATTGCATATCCATACAAGTTATTAAAATTCACCCTGTTCTGCAAATTCATCAATACATTCCTTCTGTGCATGAGTTGTAGGATATTGATCAGAAGATAGAATTCCCCTGATGGTTTTGTCTGTGGAAGGAAAATTTGTAACTGTTCTACTGCTGCCGCAGCTGAGAATGGCAAATTCAATTGTCTGAGTTAGCTGAGCCGTTTGACTTGAATGAACACGCATGACAGGAGGGCATGATTCCTGATCCTAGATAGACTCGATAAACCTTTTGGAGCTTAACTTCACGGTGTAAAAGAAAATTAGCCTAGAAAAATCTACAAATGATTGTCAGTTTGAGGTTTCCAGATTATGCCTGCCACTTATCTAAACGAATATTTGCTCAGAAAAAGCTTATAACTGGGCTTGCCATTTAATGCAATGGAGGATTTATGTAATTGATCACTATTTCAGTCATAAAGTCAATCTTATGTGAAACCAATGTATTATGTAAAAATATTGTTACATCACAACGAATGGCAGTTTGAAAAAAGGTGAGAGACTGCTGGAGATGTTCTGCAGTTCTGGTGCGGTGGTGCAGTGCCACCAATAGTGGGACAATGGGATTACAACCTGGAAATTTTCATAACTGTTTTTGTGGACGTGGGATTTTTATGAAGGGGAAAAATGGCAAGTATGGTAATAAGGTTCTGTAAATAGAACTTTTACATTGCTTTTTTAAACATTATACGTACACTTGATCTTAGCCAAACGGCCGAGAATTCCTTTTTTGAGTATAGGAGTTGGGAAGTCATGTTGAGCTTGTACAGGACATGGGT